GTGGAGGAGGGAGAGGAAAGATCAGGAAGCTTTGGTTTTTATAGTCCAAGTCTATTTACCCAATGAGGATTTAAAATTAATAAATAAAAATAATAGAAAAAAAACAAGAGACAAAATATATTTCTTAAAGGTTCTCCTTCCTTTTCACTAAGCGGTAGATTAAGGCTGCTTGGACCGTTTACATTTTTACGCCTTCTTTTTTTAACAGCATTAACCAAAAACAATTAAGGGCCACAAACTGAATTTTACTAAAGATATCAATAAAAATAGAAATAAACATAATAAAAGTGTAAATGAATAGACTTAATCATTATATAAATGATAACATTTTGATTGAGCTTTAAATAACTCTTTAAATCCTAAACCGTGTCAGTAATTGAATATTGTTCATTTGTGCCAAGAAATAATCTGAACCTCTCTCTTCTGCATGTTGTTACAAATTTGAAACATCACAGATAATTCAGTTAATATTTTCATTCAATTTTAATCTCAAATTTTGTTTTCAACTTTTGCATTGTACCGACGGTCAGATTTTAGATTTTTATCCTTCCTGCCCATTTACGGTGAAGATTTAAAACAATAAATCCTTCTTTTGTGACCAAAGCCACTCAACATTAATTCACTGAATTTGTTCTTGAAAGGATTCTTAGTTGATTTGTCAATACTGAAATCAACTCAGTTTCCTTAAATTCCTGGGGTTTTGCTTGTAGCTTCTAAAGAGCAATTTTTCAATGAGACCTGCACTAACTCTATTTGGGAAATAAAATTATTTTAAAGAAAACATGAATTGATTGTGTTCAGAAATAAATAGTTTTAGTCTTTCAAGAGTGGATGATTTTTGTTTTTTCTACAAACCAGGATGTAAACCAGTCTTAATTTTCATACAGGGATTAAGGCTGAAAGTAGTTTTTTTTTAATTGCATCTGGATTTACTAGATTGTATCTATACAGTATTTTTCCAGTCTGTCTTATTAATCAAAGGGTTTTAACATATGGACTCAGACATGCATTTATCTCGTGCTTTTCATTGTACATGCAACACGTTTGGTTTTTAAGACTTCCCGCTGTCCAGAGTTTGACCACATCGGATCCTTTGGTCAAACCAGCGAATTTCCCCACCTCCCAATCTCCACCCACCTCATTATGATGTGCATGTTGCATATGCACTGGTGCGTTTTGACAGCCACCTTCGTCCAGGTCAGACTCCAGCAGATTCCTCTGGTATGTCGGGGTTCATTTCTGGAGCAGAGGTTCCTGAAATTGATTTAAAACAAGAAAAAAGGAAAATGCCACTTAGGACTTCCTCTTTATTCTTATATCACTTGTTCAGTGCAGAGACAAAGAAGAACGATTGATGAGATGGATGTCCAGCTCTTAGAGGGGCACCCGGGAGCGTCCGCTGTGTACGCGGAAGTGTGTCTCTCTCGCCGACACACACATGCTCGCACGGATATGACAGTAATTAACCTCAGACTGTGTTAACCCTAGCTGCCCATTAGAAGGGCAAAAGGATTGATGGGGCTTGCGCCAGTCCTTTACAGTCCGTACACTTTGTTCACAGTCAGAACACTCTGAAGTATGCAACCGCTTCCTCTACTGTGGTGAGTTAAAACATTAACTGTGAGTAAGGGACCCTGGTGAGCAAGCAAGCAGCAACAGTGTTCACCCCGAATTTGATTTGAGAGAATTTTCATGCCCACATATTTCCCTGTGTAGCCAGAAATAGACCAAAGGACCCCTGGGAGGGAGGAAGTGGAGCATCTCCACCAGTGTGTCCTACTTCTTTGCTAATTATACGTGGTGTGAACCTGTTTGTTTGCTGCTGAGAGGTGTTTAATGAGTCCACAGTGTAAAACTGACAGCAAACCTGCAGCGGGACACAGACAATGGCAAATGGAAAGCGGTTTATCCTGTAACTAAACCGGCTTTAAACAGTAAGTTGGCAGCAGAATGCGTGGTGGACGTTAGAATCGTGTCGTTAGTCGGGAGGCTTAATCTTCTAAACATTGAGGGTCAGAGACATTTTACTTGTGTTCTTGCTTTTTGTGTTTTCAACAACCAACAATAAGTAGGGGATTGGTCGTCGTACCCATCCTACCTTTTACAATTTTCTCCAACTTTGATGGAACCGAACCTCATTATTTAGTGTCACTTGGACCCTTACCCATCCATTTATCCCACATTCATGTCTGGGTTAATTTACATGACTCTCCTTCAAGAAACTGATAAATCATCAATTGTGACTTATTCCTCTTTTATACAGTAACTGTATCTGCTGTGTAATGCCCGTTTGTGTTGTCTCTATGGATATTAAGCCTGCAGCAGATACCAGCTCAGGTTATACTCTATGCTTGTTGAGGAAGTACAAAATTACTGCCAAATGTGTTCATATAAGACTGAATCTACTTTCATGTGTATAAAATGTATTTAGATGTTGTAATATTTCAGTGTACTGGCAAAAATTAATAGATGGCACGTAGCAGTTGTGGAAAACGATTGGTTTTGGCACAATGCTGTCCAAATATAGTTGGGAAACAGCCAAAAAATCGTCTCATTGCAAGTACATGATGCTGAAACTCAATTAGAATGTCGGATCATCTTTTTTTCTGAATATCAGAAGGAAATTGCTCAGGAATGAGTATTTTTGTTCTTGTGTTGAGATTAAAATGGAGTCATTTTTATGCTATCATTTTCCTTTCTGACTTGCTGTGAAGAGCTGCAATAATACTAAAATCAGTTCATTAGTATTAAGCAAATTGTAGTGGTAACAATGAGTGTGAAATGTTTTAAGCCGGTATATTTTGTATTTTTTTAATAGTGTTTAGGAAAATCTCATTTATATTTAGCCTTTGTTTTAGCTTCATTGATCAGAGAAGACGCTAGTTTTGGACATTTTCTTCCCACTAAGTACAGCTGGGTTCGGTTTGCACTAGACTATCACTTATACATATCCTCATATGAATGCTTAAAAAACATTTATTATGTTAACTGGTCTCCTCCCTGTCCTCTAAATATTCGGTGAGATACAGAGGACTGCTGCATATTCCACATATTTTTCTTTGGAACATAACTCCAAATTATTTGCAAAAGACTATTTATGGATTTTTCTATAGAGCACATCTAATATATTGAATAAAATGTGGCTTTGGACGCTGACATACCCATCAATTCCACTTGACACACTATTGGCTGGAGATGGTAAAGCTGCCAATCCGGGAGTGTCATTTATTTTCCTTAACACTGATTGGCTGTAAGCTAGAGGGTAGAAATAAGGAAAACCGTAGATATCAGTTTCTGTGACAATCCTTTGGCGGATTCCACTGTGCTTATTAATACACAATATGGTATATTTGGTGTGTGAACTATTAAAACAAGTATTTATTTAAGTGTTTTTAGTGGGAATCTTAAGTATTCATAGATTTTTGTCTGTGGTCATTTGCACAGTGTAGATCCCGACTGTGCAAACAGGAAGCGAAGTGAACCAACAGACTTCTGATCACTAAGATCAATTGTAATCCTACTTGATTCAAATCTGTTTTCAAATTCTGCCAAACACTTTAACTCATGGCTTTCTTGCGCAGCATCACTGAGACGTGTGCTCCGTCTAGATGAGACCAAACAGCAATCCCGATCTTTTTTTTTTTTCTTTGATCGATCTCCTTGTTAGGATCCACACTGTGCACCACTGAGGTGATCTCTTGTTGTTCTGGTCAGACGTTGTTGAAATCAGCGGTGACAAGTTCATTAAAGCCTCCTTGCGAAACCTCTGCCTCTGTAATTGGACAATGAGACATCGCGACGAAAGTTCCTGGTCAGCCTGAGTTGATTTGTTTCATTTACAACCTGCTCCCCTTTCATCCCTGACCTCCGGCTGACCTCTGCGACCTCCCTCCACCCCCCCACCCCCGGCTTCTGCCTGGACAGCCGTCGAGGGGGATCGGGTGACCGGGTTCTGCTCCGACCGCGATATCACATGTGACATCTCTTTTTCCAGTCCTGCTGCAAGCGTACACCGTTTAACAGCCTTTACGAGCCGTCAGTCACCAGGCGGAACATATGCGTTTTGATTTATTTGTTTGCTCTGCTAATGAAACGCAGTCAGAGTTATTCTGAATTTCATTTTTAAAGCGTTTTTATTTATTTCGGGGGTTTTTCTGGGGTTTTTTTATTTTTTATTTTTATTACACATCTCACTTTATATCCCCATGCAGCTCAAGTAGGTCGTTAAAGCCAGGATGTTCTCCGGAACGTCGTCACTTCAAATCTGTCGGGCATTAATATTTAACAGGTTTTATTGCTGTTCTTGTTTACTTTATTTGGATTTTATCAATATTTCGTGGTCCATAGTTGGGGATAAACACAAATCTCACAAATTCTTGTACAGAAAGGCCTAATAACGTTTGCGACTCCCGTCTGTTGGGTAATAAAAAATAATAATGTGGAGTTAAGTGAAAGAAACCTAATGGCTGTTTGACGTGTCTTTGTTTTTCGTGAGGGAGCTCACTGCCTTTTGATTTTGCAACCGATCTGGTATTTTACCCCTTCAGAGTTGCTGTGGAGGTCATGCAGTGATGCGAGCAGATATTTGGTGAAACTCCGACTGTCATTTCAAGATGAAATTAAACCAGTGTCACTTCCAAAGCCTTTCACTGCTAAAAACTCGCAATCTTACAGTCGTTTTGGTCTTTTTTCCAGTGGAAAAAGACGAAACAAACTTTTCAGCAAGATGTGGCAGCTTGTGTTAAGTAAATAATTTCTTAATATTGTCAACAATAGTTTAGATTCTCTCAACAAAATATCAATTTGAGTTGAAGCCTTTTTTTGATCTCTAATAATTTCCTACCATTTAGGAACAATTTTAAAAGTTTAAGTGGAAATATTTAGAGGATTTTAATTCCAAGTTTTTGGTCAACTCATGAAATGCTGCCGTCTGTCCCCAAGACGTCTGTCAGTCCTTTCTAAGCGACCATTTGCTTTCCTGCTTGTTTCTGCGTCTGCAGGACCATTCCTTCATAATCCAGTACAACGACGGGAACGCCGAGGTGGTGTCCATGTGGGTCTGCCGCTGTCTGGAGGGGAGGCGATCTCAGCAGGCCCAGTGACGCGTCGGGCGTCCTCCTGCTGTCCAGACGCTTACTCACCGGGACGTTTGACACCAAACCATGAGCACTTACTAAAGCCTTCAGGGCCGAGTACGTCCACATGCACTGCATTAACGACTGGGTAATAACTGTTACATACTTTATTTGAGAATCTGTTTATTTAAAAAGACTAGGTGGACAAAACACGGAGGAGCTCGCATCCCGGGACGATGTCCAGACTTTGTGCGGTCCGAGTTTCGCTGTCTGTCTCCATCTTGTGTAGCAGATGCTCTGCCATGTTTGTTATTATTGTTATTATTATTATTCTTGGAGAATTCTGAGAATTGACTCAAAGGATCAGAGACAGTACACAACTTCGCAAAACAAAAAAAACACGAGTGGCCGGCGGAGTTTCGCTCTGCCGAGCATTGCCTTCAAGTGAATGTCAAGGTTTCCTCCTGTGAGTAACTGCCCGTCTTCTGTGCCTGGTTTTCATGTGCTTTCATTTATTACCTCAGCAACTTTAAGTTGTCATTTGATATTTGCCAAAAAAAAAAAAAAATAAAGAAAGCTCCCATTTGTGCTTCTGGTCCAGAACAAATGTTTCTCTTTAAACCCAACGGAGGACAAAAAGAAAATAGATGCCACTGGAAGTTTTGGGGTTTTTTTGCCTCTCTGTGTTTTGTGACATTTTGTCGTCAGAGATCTGATCACTCTCTGAGGTGTGTGTGTGTCTGCAACACATTCGTTTGACTGTTGGTAATCAGCAAGCTCACCGGCTCTCCACGAACAAGGAAGAGGATCACGCGCTGCGTTTTGAGACGGAGGGACGAATGCACACTTCTCACTCTGCACCTTTTTCGAGCCGCCTCCGAGACACTGGCCTTCATCTGCCTCTGACTGTCATGGCCGCTCCTTTCAGAGACACATTTCGTCTCTGAAACCTTTGGGAGCCACAGACCAAGACAGGCATCGGTCTCATGATTTTAGTCTGCAGAAGCGGCGCTCATGTGTTACAAAATAAGCTCGTAAGGGTAAAAAAAAAAAAAAAAAGCCTCAACTAGACTTTATTTCAGTTTAAGCTAATTTAACCTTTGGTTTTCTCATTTTTTTAATCAAAGCACTGAAGTTACTGTTTGGGAGGAAGCAGGATCCTCTCACATGAGCTCCCAATGGTTTCAGTCAACAGAATAAAACTATATGTGTAGACTCTATGTTATAAAGAACATCAGTGTATGAACCTGGTCATTTTCTGGTAAAAGTATATATATGTACTTTTCTAACATTTGTATGACATTACATCAGCCTTAACATATAAGCATACATTACAGTCAAACAAAAGAAACCAGTTCAGTTTGGAAACCAGTTCAGAAAACTGTGATGTCGTAATGAAAGCATCACCTCTTTGTAATTATTTTTTTATCCGCCTTTGTTTTTCTTTCCTTTTCAGTCTTCTGACAATGAGCACCACCTTTCTATTCTTTTTAATGTTTCGTTTTCCACATCAAAACCACAAAGCCTTGGAAAAGTGTTGCGATTCAGCAGAATTATTAATGCTGTGACTTTACCGACGGCCTTTTTTTGTCTGGTAGTTAGTGTTGGCACATACTCCAGGTATACTGTTTAAAGTGTTTTGGAGTCTTTTTGTGTTTGATTTAAAACAAATGTATTAGTCTTGGTTTTAAACTTGACTTAAAGTTTAAAATTAAGACAAAGAAATGTATCTGTTCGGGGGGAAATGAGCAATAAAAACTCGTTCAAAAGCCACAGTAGCGCCGGGTTTTCTTTCTTTTTTTTGTTTTAAAGCTGACAGCAGTTTTTGACATGAATCTGTATTTGTAGTAATTTGGGAACTAAAATCTATTACTTCTCTCTTTGTTTTTTTTTGTTTTTTTGTTTTGTTTGCTTTTTTGGAGTCAGCAAAGAAAAATTTGTGTTTTAAATCGGGCCAAGAACGAAGCCTTGAGGAACGCCACGCTGGAGCCTTGTTCACACAGATTCACTTTTACCAAAAAAAAAACAAAAACTAAGAAGTATGTTTTAACATATTAGGCAGAGGAGCTGGCTTTTATGCATAACCCATTAATAAAGCTACGTGTTAGCCTAGCTTGCCTTGGTTTTACTGGAAGCATGAGACCATTGTCCAATGCAACTAGCTGTGGCGAGACTCACAGGTTTATCCACGTTTCAGTGTTCTCCATCTTTTTTTACCATGTTCATCTTTAAGTATTAGATACGACTGGAAGCGAAACAGACCCGCAACGTGACGCTACCACCATCCTAACAGCTAGCACCGCGTTCTTTGACCTTTTATTTGTCGCAAATCTCTCAGAGAATTGTAATTCTAATCTGTTGATCCACATCCCTGGTCACTGCATGTGTTTGTACTATCGTTTCACCCTAAGAAGTGAACTTTTAAGCCCCAATGGAATGACGTTCATGCTGTGATGAGTGGATGAAAACTTTTAAAGCAAGTGTTGGGGGAGGGGGGAAATTGAAAAACTGACTCTTCTGCGGGAATGTTTTGGGTTTTTTCTTTCTCTCTCTTTCTGTTTAGCTTTTGTTGTAATAAAGGCAGAAGGCAAGGAGCCTCAGCTGGTCTTTATTAAAATAAAACAAATAATAGCCTGCATTCAGAGAATGGCCTTCACACTTAACAAGGCCTTAAACATGGTGGGGTAAATTAAAAAAACAAAAAAACAAACATTGTCTTCAATATTCTGAAATGCTGCCATCTTTCACCGCAGTGACCCGACTCTGTAAGCACTTTCCATGAGTTCAGTTGTAATTTGCATTTCATAATTAATCTCCGTCCACCTTTAATTAACACCTGATATATTCTTGAGCGGTAGTTTCCCACGCGACCTGTGAGAGGCGGTTCAAGGCGCGCGGATCCGCGTGTTGAGCGCGAGGCCGACGCTCGCGCCTCAAACGACAAGGACGCGCCGCGTTTCCACCGCTTTTTGTCTGGCGACTTGGAAAAAGCTCGAGTTGAAACAATGCGTTACGTCTACCGCGCGCGTGTCGTAACCTAAAGAAAGAGAGAGAGAGAGAGAAACTCTCCTCTTGTGCGGCTGAACTTCATTAACTCCCGAAGGGAGAGAGGCGCGTGCCGTTTCATTAAGGAAACGAAGGTCACGCATTAACCCGCAACGCGGGAGAGTTTTCACCTTGAACCCCGTCGGCGTGGCGTCGCGGCGACCTCGCTGAACAACTCGAGTTTTTTCCCCTCACAATTCGTCTGAATGGCGAGAGAGAGAAAAGAAATGTCGGGCCGATGAATTAACGGCGTTCAGAATGCAGGAAGAAAAGGAGGAAAACGTCATTATTATTATTTTTTTTTTAACATTAGTCGTGCATTAAATTAACACAAGGCATTCAAATGTGTTCGCTCAGATCTTTGTATGCGGAAAAATTAAGAGCGAATGAGGTCGAGCTCGTTTTTGGAAAAAAAAAATTATTTTTTATTCAATTTTTTTATTTATTTTTTTCTTCAAACAAAGGCCGAGAAAGAGAAAGAAAGGAGTAAGAAAAATCACACAGAGCGGAGCGGGGAATGGAGCTGCAGCTCCGACAGGTGTAATGTCAATGTCGTTCATTTGCAAAATACAAAAATAAACGATTAAGGGTTTTGACGTGAATGGCGCCGTCGGGCAACTAAATCCAACTCGTTTCTATCAAAAACTTTTTTTTTTTCATTTCGCCACAGTTTTCCGTCCTCTTTTGACTGCGGGGACATTTTTAATCATACACTCTAATCCCTTTCTAGTCCCTGAATTAAGCAGCACAATGTTTTTGATATGAAATATAAGTTGCCTCGAACTGGGTGGCTTCTGTGCGCGGATGTGAACGTTAGTTATAGATGAGACTGTTGCCATAAAAACCAGATTCTCTTTGATGGAACTTGTTTTTTAACCAATTTGAATAGTAAACTGAACTTTGAGACTTTTACAAAAACATGTTTTTTGTACTTCTATATTCATTAAAACTGTCACCATGTCATGACAGTGTGGTATTAAACCGATGCTACTATTTAATTTCCCCTTGAGATCCGGATCTCATTATCAAGAGGGACCTGGGCAGAAGTCTGCAACTCACAGCAACCCGTCGGTTTTTCCACGGTCAGAGCTGAGGGGGGAGGATCTTATCGCTGTCAATTAGTTTTGTGTATGCGCTGCTCAAAGTGCTAATGGTGGAAAAGACCGTTGATCTGCCGTCTGTCATCGGTGGCCATGACTAGCTAACTAGCTTTAGCATCCGTGGCAGGCTGTGGTGAATCAGCAGTAGCTTTGCAAAAAAGCAAGTGATTGACAGCGCTAAGACCTTCCTCCTGGCTCTCATTGGTTGTTTCTTACTGGGCGGTGCCAGTTAGCACTGGCAGCACTGGGAAAAGGTAGAAAAGCTGGCTAGCTTTTCAGAGTGACAACAAAATGACAATTTTAACAAATGTGTAAAAATATACTTTTTAAAAAAATAAACATTACTGCAGTTTTAACTGCATTGTTTGATACCTAGGTTCACATGGAACATGTGCTTCATCAGATTGAATGAACCTTTTTTCTCTTGTTTTGATAAAGATGTATATATATATATATATATATATATATATATATATATATATATATATATATATATCACGATTCTGCAAAATAATCTACATTCAATTTGTACTGTCTCCACAGATGTTAAAGCTATAAAATTTCAACACTCAACATTTATGCCACTGTAAAAGATCTTTAGTGTGGCTGAGGTCAAGAGTGTTTCATATTAAGACAGAGCAGGAAGCAGACAGCGGGTGAAGTTGGAAGCTAAGACAGAGGAAACCAAGCGAAGGAGCTCTAACGTGAAAGCAGCACAAGACGACTCAGACTGAGCCATCGACTCGACTGCATAACGACTTTGACAAAGGTAAAGATTTATGAAATGTTTTTTTTAATACTCGCCTTTCTTGTTTACAGATGTGCCGTGTGAGAAACTAAGTCCCTGAAGAAGCAGTTCTTTCCAATTAAAAAGGAACACTTCATAAAAAAATGTTTTGAATGAACTCAGAAATTATTATTTTAAAAAAATCATGTTTTTGAGTAAATGTGTTTTCTTGCATAACCAAGTTGTGCACTTTTGTCATTAACAGCAGGTGTGCATGCATTCTCACTTACACCGTGTCCTATTTGTACCCATATATGTGTCTAACTGAGGGGATTGCAGCACATAATTGCAAACTAAAGAGCAGAAGAACTATTCTTGAGACACTGATTCTTGAACATTCGAATCAAATGTGGTGAGGTAAAAAAGAGTCAAGAAAATGCATCTGCCAAAAAAAAAAACTAAACTTTTTAGGCTTTTCATGGATAAGAAACACGTCAATGTTACAAATGTGGCTCTGCGTGTTGAGTCCTCAACGCAGCTTTCCAGGGTTCAATTCCCAACCTTGAGATTTTTGCTGCATTTCTCCTCCTCTTGCCCCTTTTTTCTCCTCTTTTGCTGTGGCTGTTGTCCTCCTGTCTGCTACAGAAGCTGTTCTAGTGACTTGCCACAATCTCTCCATTGCCTGTTCTTCCTGGTCTTGAGTTCCTTGCCAAAGT